ATTTTACCACAGACAAGAGTATTTTATGCATGATATGAAGCACAATGAAGATACAAATCTTCAAAGAAAAGTAAAAAAATAAACAAATAAAATAAATTTATATAAATAACATTAATTATTTTTCAAATTAAACAATATTTTTAATAATAATATTTAAGATAACTGCCCATTTCAACATTAAAATAAATCACATTAATAATAATCAAACATCATAAAGTTTGAGATAACTGGCCATCACAACAGCGAAGTCACAGAAGTTACAACAACTTCCAGAACTTTTAGAAATGGAAAAATCCACTTTATAAATTCTGAATGATGACATACATTTTTTTCTGATAAGTGACATTAGAGCCAACGTCAGAAAACCTTGTCCTCCTTTTAGATTCTAAAGTTTGGACTACACAGAACTGTGCAAAAGAAAGTGAGGTAGAGAGAGAGAGTGCAAGGCATCTACCCAAATTTAAAATTACAGTCAACCAGATGGGCTGCAGGCCATTCTGTGACCCAGGCTAGTACGTATACATATTTGAACCTTTGCTCCCCTCTCAGACACTGACAGATTTGTGATGCCCTGCGATTACCAAAGGTCAGTATTTTACTCTCTCCCACAGCCACACACTGAGCACACACAACATTCACTCTCCATTACTCTTCCTCTATAGTACTGGACTGTAGACGCTCTTTTAATCTCATTACATGGACAAAATCCCATCAGCTGCTCCCCATGGGTCCAGCCAGCCAGGGGAATAAGCAGGAGTTCAGTGGACTGAACCATCATGTGGTCATCAACCCACGCAACCCCTGTTCAACTTGTGTCTAATGCATCTTGTGATCTTTCAGATGTGATCTGGGATGCACAGAACCATTACATTTGTGGTACCACTGCAAATGCCCACAGAATATCTACCTCAACGTGCAGTGCCACGCATTTTAGATGACAGTTAATAATGGGTGTAAATGGCAATCTGTTTTGGGGGACCACTTGTGGATGGATCCTCTGGAATATTAGGTAAAAACAGGCCAACCTAGACATGGAGTGAATGATTTGGCTGACGTCCCTTTTGCCACATTCTGCCGAGCTAATAATTCTTAAAGAACAAGAGAAACAAGTCAGATTGAGAAGACAAAACTCTTTTGTCAAGATTCCTGGCAACACAGATAAGATGTTCATGCAGCAACCCTGAGGGAGTCTGGCTGGGCTCCATGAATGAGAAGCAATGTTTTAAAAGATGCTGGAAGGCACATTTTTGCAAAAGTCAAGCTATGATTGATCTCCCTGTAACTAGAAAAGCAAAATGAGCCTTCAGGCAGCAAAACACATACATTAATTTACCAATTGACACATTAGGGTTAGTCGTCCTCCACTAGTGCCTATCAATACAGTCATTTTGTGCATTTCTCCACTACAATGCATTGCTTACTTTCAGTTTAGATAGATAACTCACAGGAGATATAAAACAGAAAGCAAATTCTCAAAGCCTTTGGCTGCCAATTACTCTTGTATCTAGATATATGACGGTTGTATATGTTTTAAAAGAAAGCTTCAGTTTGGCGTAGCCAAATTTCTACCTCATGTTTTGTTTCGTACCATCGTTAGACCTAAGTGCTTTTCCAATCATTATAGTGCTTATTTTCATAAGTCAGAGCTGACTGAATTCTTGCTGAGAGCAGAAACACCCTGTGTCGCAGAGAATGATTGCGTGAAAGTATTTGCATGAGGATGCAGAAAACGCTAATGTTTAAACACTTCTAAAGAAGAACGTGAAAGTCTTCGCCAATGCGTTGAGCCGCAGACAGAAGCTGATACTGGAGTCTACACACGGATGTGAAACTGTAAATGTGTTTAGGCAGAAAAAAAAATCTGAAGACGACTGTACAGGATGTTTTAAAGAGAAGGCTTGTGGGCAGGGTTGTAGAGGAACATTCTAATGTTTCATTTGACTCCAGAGTACACCTTTGACCAAGAGAAAGTGCACGGTGTAAAATTTCACCTGTTAAAGCTGAAGTGGCACCACTAAAACACAACAGCAAAAAAAAAAAAAAAAAAAAGATTGTTCAGTTTATGTTTTCTATACTTTGTAAAACACTTGCAAAAATGAGCAGAAAACCACTGGATCTTTACTTAGAACGGTACTGCTAGGACACATCCCTTTTTTGAAGCCTTTCAAACATGTTCAGACAGAGTTCGAAACTTGATCTAGGCACTTCATGGTACTTCACAAAACACAGCCATCAGCATCTACCATACCATGATCTTATCACAAGGAAGGGAGTGCATTTTGCAATCAGAAATCATAACACATACACAGAAGAACTGCCAAGAGACATTGCTCTTTTCAGTGGAATTTGACAAACATGGTAGAGATGGCAAACCTCTTCTCCTTTACCCTTTCAGAGAACATTTCACACAGGAAAGCCATTTTAGCACAAAAACTGCAACAAAAGAGCCCCTATGAAGGCTAGAAGTGTTCAATATGAACGGTCTCAAATTGTGTTTAATTCAATGCCGGTAAGGGCTTGACAGGTTAAACATACTTAACACTAAAAACACCTGCATTAACATAAAAGAAAAGTACATATTACACCACAAATACATATACGAACCGATATTGAAGTCAAAGACATACTGCTGGGACACCACAGATAACCACTGCATCGACTACAGCTAGTCACTCAGTGGAAAGTTCTATTTAGGCCTATGGAGCAAGCCTAATTTCTTCTCTTTCTCCATATAAGGAGACAGTTTTTGCAAGGGAAAAAAAGCTTCCATTGTCACTCTGCAGAGGCTGTCCCAGAGTCCTTGTTGGCATAATTTCATTAGTATGGAGATCTAAGAATAGTCAAGAGACTAAGAGTAGACCATGGACTAGAACCTCAGTGTGTGACATTCAGCTCAAACAGAAACATCACTGACGCACAGCGTGCAAAAACACAGCACAAAAGAAAACACTGCATTTGATGGTAGACTTGAACAGACTTGAATGGATAAACACACCTAGATGCCTGTGATTAAATTATCTGATATTCTTATGAATGAGAATTTGAAAAAAAAAATAATAATCCACTATGGATGATTTCTTGGGGCCTCCCAAATACTTTGAAGTTCCTGCAAGTTACAACGTTTTGAAACACCTGGAATGACATGCCTCCACATTCGTTTCTGACAACTGGACAGTTGACGCCGCAGGCCGTCATCTCCACATGAATAATCTGTGTATACAATCTTCAGGGCTTAGTTTCATCTGAAAACCCTGAGGGCCTCTGCCATCTGCTCTTACCTTCAGCGTACAACAGAGATTGACACCTCTAATGAAAGAAGACATCATTAAAAAGCAACACTCTGAAAGAGGTCACATTTAAGTTTATTTGTACCATTTGCTTGAGCATTCGCAATCTCTCATGCACATAATTTGCTGAAACAGGCATTTTCCTTGTGCTGCTGAATTCCCAATGGAGCCAATTTAACTGAGAATGTACATATGTTTGATCAGACAATCCACTGGCAGATGGTGATCCCTAACCGCCGAAACAAAGTGCCACTATCACTAATGACAGCAACGAACAGTCCGGAAGAAATGGGAGCTTTAAAGACTAAAGATACACACATTTAAGCTTTATTGGTTGAGAATTGCTAAAAATGAATCATTATACAACAGTTAGTTCCTCAAATTTGATTCAGTAGTGATATTTACTGTAAAATTGTGACGTTTCACTCTAGTGCAGAATGAAAGTGGGGCAAGTTTTTCAAAGTGGAAGTCAAAAAGCATCTACATATTCTCTCACACACGAGCTTTTTGCGTGTTTTTTGTGTGTGGGTAGTGAGAAAATCCGTCGCTGAAGTGCACACATACACTGTTCCAATTCAGGAACACACAAAACTTAATAGCACTTTTAGAACCATTTTCGTTGTACAAAATAACTGGCAAATTTTCGTCTGCAATGCTAGATGCTCAAAATTATTCAGGCTATTACAACTTGCATTCATGTTGTAATAATGAATATCATCACAACTGTGCTTACCTGCAGTTTCAGGTCTACAACAGAATCACCGTCAAGCGTGATATTGCTTGTATTATCAAAATGATAACCATCTAAAACTGGCCAATACACATTTGTTCCCATTAATATTGTGTGCATTATGGTTTCAGCCAGCTGATGCTGGGCAGGAGTTAAACAAACATGTAACCATGACAACATTAGGCTGAGAAGATTCACATGTAAAAAGCATTTACATAAATTTCCACATAAAACCTGTGCCGGCTAGTAGTCCTAGTCGCTGCTTTCCATGATACAATGACAAAAAGAAAGGATGTTTGTCTATGAAAGCAGCCTACAGTTTAGGGTACATTTGGGTTGAGTAATGAATGTCAACATCTCAATTAATAATTTCACACACAGAAACAAACAGAATGGGAAACCTGAAGTCACTTTGGATAAACGTATGATGAATACATGTAAATGTGGTCAGAAAAGATGCATTAGACACAGACAGGCTGGGCTACACAATTTCATGTAATCAAGCAAATATATCGGCAAAGATGCACTGAGATGAAGTAACGTTACGAATAATTAATTGTTACAAAAAAAACCTGTAAATTTACCGCTGCTTCAGTACCGGTCCAGCTTTCCGTGAACTAAACTGGGTCGACGAAAACCAGGTGTCAAGACCAGAAGGCTTTGTTTTCGGTCTAAATTCATCTGGAAACACGCATCTTCAATAAGACACATGACAGCTTTGGACCCTGAGACCTAGCCTCCCACAGCACAGGACTGATTAGTATTCATCTTCTGTATCCAATCTTAAAGCGCACATAAATACATCTCTACAATAAGCAAATCATCTGCTTTGATGGATCACTGCAACACTAGTAAGTCTGAGCCCAGTATCCCACAATTAGCTCTTGATAGCACTCTAGCTAGCGGACTGCACCTCACCACAATAGACGACGAGGGGGTCGCCGGGTTCACTGGCTGCAGCTGAATCAAAGCGGAAAACTCACCATCTGGGTCTCCTTATCGGTCTGCTGAAGAGAAAAGGGGTTGCTGCTGCCCTGGCCGGTCCACTCACTGTGCGCGACTCGGTTGAAATCTCATTCGTTTCCTCCGCTGGTCTAAACGATTAACTTCTCCGGTTGAGCTCAATGAAACGTACCAGCAGAGCAACGCTGTGATCATTCGAGCCGTCTAGAGAGCCTGACGTGCTTCCCCCCCACCTCACTCTTTCCAACGGACGTTTTTTTTCTCTTCATCACGCCTTTTTTTACTCAGCAGGATGTCGCACGCGATTGGATGCAGCTCGTGCCGCGTCCTCGCGCTCTCCTCCTACCTCAGAATTTAGGTAACGTTACATTTTTATGAGGAGACTTTTGCAAGAAATAGCCATATTACCTCACGGATTTCTAATTCCTCGCCTCTGTTTCTTTCCCGCTGTCTTTATTCAGTCATTAGTGACTAATATGTGAGGTAAGTAAGAGGCAAATGAGCTAATTCGTTTTAGCCATTATATAGTTTCACGCACACGCTCATAAGAATTGTAAGATCTACTGCATAATAATAATAATAATAAAGCAATTAAATAAGTAAATAACAATGCTAAAATAAGTTCTAGGTTTGTAGTTATATATGAAGAGCAGCCCTTGCAACGGTACTGATGGCCTGTATTTATTTTCTTCTTTGCAGCACTTAAAGGGTTAGTTCACCCAAAAATGAAAATTAACCCATGTTTTACTCACCCTCAAGGCATCCTAGGTGTGTATGACTTTCTTCTTTCAGACGAATCCAATCGGAGTTATATGAAAAATTATCCTTGCTCTTCCAAGCATTAGAATAGCAGTATGTGGGTGGTTTTTTGGGTGTACCAACCCTTTAAAGGGAGCATAACACACACAGTTTCACCCAATCTCATGTTAATCTTGAGCAGGATGTCGCACGCGATTGGACGCAGCTCGTGCCGCGTCCTCGCGCTCTCCTCCTACCTCAGAATTTAGGTAACGTTACATTTTCTGAGGAGACTTTTGCAAGAAATAGCCATATTACCTCACGGATTTCTAATTCCTCGCCTCTGTTTCTTTCCCGCTGTCTTTATTCAGTCATTAGTGACTAATATGTGAGGTAAGTAAGAGGCAAATGAGCTAATTCGTTTTAGCCATTATATAGTTTCACGCACACGCTCATAAGAATTGTAAGATCTACTGCATAATAATAATAATAATAATAAAGCAATTAAATAAGTAAATAACAATGCTAAAATAAGTTCTAGGTTTGTAGTTGTATATGAAGAGCAGCCCTTGCAACGGTACTGATGGCCTGTATTTATTTTCTTCTTTGCAGCACTTAAAGGGTTAGTTCACCCAAAAATGAAAATTAACCCATGTTTTACTCACCCTCAAGGCATCCTAGGTGTGTATGACTTTCTTCTTTCAGACGAATCCAATCGGAGTTATATGAAAAATTATCCTTGCTCTTCCAAGCATTAGAATAGCAGTATGTGGGTGGTTTTTTGGGTGTACCAACCCTTTAAAGGGAGCATAACACACACAGTTTCACCCAATCTCATGTTAATCTTGAGTACCTATAGAGTAGTACTGCATATCTCCAAATGGTCTTTAGTTTTATCATATTTATTTATAAAAGAAAGATACAACTTTACGATTCTCTCCAGAAAAAGCCGAGCTACAGGAGGCGCGCTGTGGGCGGAGTTAAAGAGTGACGAGCACTTGAGCTCAGACTGCCAACAAAACAGACATTTTTATGCAGTTTCACTTACCGTCTGCAGTTCTGAATCATTACTTTATCTTTTATAGCTGGAACCGCTCCATCTTTCAGTATCAAATGATGTGCAAATCCAGCGTCGAATTGGGCCTTGTTTATAAAACGTCAGGGAGCGTCATCAGTGGAGCACGAGAGGCGGTGGTGATGATGTAAGTGACGTTGTAGTTTAATGTTTTGTTAGTCTAGCCCACGAGACGCACAGTTACTGCGTTATTCATTCAAAATATTAGAGAAATATAGTAGCTCAATGCCTAAAATATCTTGATTAGGTTAAAACCGAAACCAAGCCATTCACACAGAGCGCATATTCAGCACATTTTATAGATGGACAAATTGCACAATTTTCCACACCACAATCTGTCAAGCACATCTTACCAGCAAACATACACTCATTCACATCCTTCTCTTCACTCTCTGAGGCAGAAGTCTACAAACGTATCCTTTCTAATCATCCTACTACTTGTCCGCTTGATCCTATTCCATCTCATCTCCTTCAAGCCATTTCTCCTGCAGTTGTACCTGCACTCACTCACATCATTAACATATCCCTAAATCTTGCGTTCTGGAAGTGAACGTCGCTTGATTGTGCCATCCCAAAGAAGCTCAAAATCACTTGTATGGACTTTTAAATTAAATGTTCCCTCCTGGTGAAATGACCTGCCCAACTCAATCCGAGCAGCTGAGTCCTTAGCCATCTTCAAGAATTGACAAAAACACATCTCTTCCATCTTTATTTGACCCTCTAACTCTAGCACTCTCTATTCTAATTCTAGTCTTAAAAAAAAAACATTTGTCCCTTTTAGACTTTAGCACTCTATTTATTTGCTGCTTGTTTTCTTTAAAAAAAAAAAAACTAACTAGCTTTCTAATCTTTTTGTATCTGTTTTCTTTTCACTTATTATACAATCAACAAAAGCAAAAAAGACCTCTAACACTAGCTTCCTCTATTCTTTTTCTTTTTCTTTATTATATTATTTAAAACCCTTGCTACGTGTACTGCGTTAAGCTAACTGAGACTTGTTATAGCACTTGCATATCATTGCTCTTTTGTTGATTTTGATTGCTTCTAGTGTCCTCATTTGTAAGTCGCTTTGGATAAAAGCGTCTGCTAAATGACTAAATCTAAATATGACTGCTGCACTCGCGTCTCACACAAGAGAGACAGCAATGCGAAGTTAAAACAGTTAAAACTTTTAGAAAACACGTCGCAAATTTGTGGAGGTTTATTCCTTTTCACTGCGTCTCATATGTTTTTAAAGGCAATCTGTGTGATGGGCGATTCGGCTCTTTGTATTAAGCAATGCATAAATACGTGATGCTGTTTTGTTCATAATTGTTTATGCAATTTACGAAATTATATTTGATTTATATGAGTTAATTTAGACGTAATGCACGTTTTTTTACTAGACAGTTACTTCCTTGCATTGACAATTTAATGTGCTGTATTATTTTGCTCATTGTGGCCTCGGGAGACAAGCCAAAAGTTTAACCTATTTAATCTGCATATAAAACATTAGAAATGAGATATTTGTTTAATTACTATTTTGTTTTTGACTGTTAAAACAATTATTATGCACAGATATACACATGGTTTAATTGTTTGTCTCAATAAATTTAGTTAATTTAAAAATACAGTGGTTAAATGTAAAAAATGTTTTTATTGCTATTTGTTTTTAAAAAAAGGTTATAAAAAATGTCGATAATTATCGATACCGAACGATAGATTTTTATAGCTATATCGCCCAGCCCTACGTAGTAGAATGAAGCAGGGTGAGGCTGAAAGCCGTCAAAGCGAAACAAGGCCGCTGAACGATCGTGACACACGTACGGCTCGAAAGCAGCAGAGCTTTTATTATGTCACAGTCAACCGCTTCCCCTCCTTCCGGTCGTGCGTATGTGGGGAAAAAAGCAGCTCTGTTTTATCATACTAGATACATTTGAAAGTTCTGTTATAATGCTACTCTGTGCGGTCGTCACCGGTCTATTAAAACGCACAACATATTAAAGCGTATTTGGAAATCGAGGGGTTATGACGTCATTGGCAGGCGACACTATGGACACCATCAGTGTCACTAGTTAAAATTGCTTATTTCTCTGGATTTAAACATTCTTCAAAACATTTGGGATAATGTACAGTGGGGCAAAAAAGTATTTAGTCAGCCACCAATTGTGCAAGTTCTCCCACTTAAAAAGATGAGAGAGGCCTGTAAAAAATCTTACATATTGTGCCTTTAACAAGCAAACTAACAGATTTTTGTTATAAGGAGAATAAGCAGAATTAAAGGGGTCATATGATGCAATTTAAATTTTTCCTTTCTCTTTGGAGTGTTACAAGCTCTTGGTGCATAAAGAAGATCTGTAAAGTTGCAAAGACTAAAGTCTCAAATCCAAAGAGATATTCTTTATAAAAGTTAAGAGTCAACCACACCTACCTAAAACGGCTCGTTCTAACACGCCCCCACATATCTACATCACTATGTGGTAAGATTTGCATAATGCAGCCCAAATGTTCACGCAAAGAAAGATGGCGTAACTGTTATTCTCGCTGTTGCCATCACTGCCATGTTGTGGAGACGCTGCGTGTTTCGTTGTGAAAGCGAAACTACTTTGTTTGGCCTTCCAAAAGAGGACACGACTAGAAATCAGTGGTTAAGTTGTATTTACAACACTGTTCCAGAACAGTTCAACCCAAATATTCAGATGTGTGCAGCACATTTTACGGAGGACGAGGACTGTTTCCTGAACCAGTAGCCTACAATGCGTCTGTGCACAAAGGCTGTTTCTATAAAGTGGGGCAATTCCAACTTTGCAAGGACAGTCTGGCACTTCTGATTCACAGCCTGTAAGTACGTTTACATATTTAAAGAATTTGCCACTGATGATTCAAATCAATCACATGATTGTCCGATTTAAATAAAATGAATTTTATTTACAAATGTATTCCTATTTTTGTGTAAAATGTATTTAAAAATACTTATGTAAAATGTATTCTTATTATTCCAAGCATATTTTATAATATATAATACTATTTATTATTTGATCATTTAAATCACCTGTTTAAAAATAGGAAAATAGACGCGCTATAGTTGTATATAATTATACGCGATATACTGTATATCTGTTTATAATACACATTTTAAAATTGTATTGCATACCTGGTGCTGCCATAATAAAGACCCATTTCGAATGTTTACGTGCTTTTCTTCTCTTTCTGCTCCCAGTCGCTGTGGTGGAGCATTTATGAAGCATTGTTCTTTTAAATACTTTCCAGCATTTCAGAAATAAATATGTATGCAAATTACACTGAAGTACAACGTTACCTTACGGTGTTCAGGAGTGCTCAAAAAGGGTTTAAACACTGAATTTTGAATCGATTTCTTTTCGTAAACTCAGAGATGTGGATTCAATTAAATTACCACACGACCTTGGTGTTTGTCAAAAAACAGTAGGTAATTCGGCCGGGG